ATTTAAACTATTCAGAAAAACCAATGACCAGAAGTACTAACCCCAAATACTCTAACATCAAAGCTTTCAAGATTAAAATCATTCTAAATGAACTCCCAGTTCTAACAACTCTACACAAAAGAAACCCACAGAAATATCCAAATTCAACATGCCCAAGATATAAAGAAATAGAAGAAACCATCTCGTATATGATCAGCTGCAAAGCAAATAGAACCAAACTTAATGATATAATAACACAAACTATAAACAAGACTCTGACCAAATACAAGGCTAATAGCATATACAATAACTGAACCGTCAAAAATTCTATTACAAGAACACTAAATATAACTACACCAGATAGTATCCAACATAATAACCTAGGATTGCTATATCTTCAAGAGGTAACACAAATTAACCTTATCACAGATGAGTATAAAGAGCCATACAACCTAGCCACCCATATTCTCCACAAGCTTGCAAAAGCTATACATAAGGAAATATAGATCTCATAATGCCAAAAAGTAGCAAACCAGATACAGCGAACTCCTGGGCAAATAGAAAATATAGACCAAGTACAGCTACCTACATCAACAAATACAAGAAGTAATGAAGATACTGAGAAACAATGAACTCTAAAAAGATCGAATGCAAAGCTTAAAATCTAGAGTACAGAATTTAGCAAAAACAATATCTCACCATCATTTATTGAGAAAATTATAATCTAAGTGAGGTTTGGCCTCTCTTAGTTAAGTTTGGGTCATAGGTAAACTAGCCTAAGTCTTAGTTTTTAGGAGAACAATATGTACTACAGATAGTTTGTAAACAATTTGTACCCATATTACTTAAATAAAGAACTGTGACATGATCTTGCTTATAAAAAAAAAAAAAAAAAAAAAATTATATAAACTAGATTAGAGTAAGGGTATAGGTTTTTAGTATATTATATATTTAATAGTATGCTGTTATATAACATGGTGTTATGAATATAACTTTTCTTTAAACAAATTTCACAATATTCACTTTTTCTCAATTTTTTTTTTTTTTTTTATACAAATTCCTGACATTTCCTGATTTTGTATTTCTACCAATCATGATAATTATCATATTTATGCATAATAATGTACATGGCATTATTTCGAAATCTTAACTTTTCTAAAAATTGCCAATTTGACTCAAAATAATGCTCATGCGCGTTCTGAAATAACACGCCCCTCCTACCCTTCAAATTAGAGATAGTACGCCATATAAAATTTTAACTCTAGGTTCAATAAAATAAATTAAAGTGCCCTTATATATAATTTTTTATTTACTAAAAATTTACTAAATGATTCGAATTATCATGCATGCGCTTTTCAAAATAACGTGTAGGTGCTCGAAATAACGCACACTTGCGCATTATTACGCGAAAATATAGTAGCTAAATTCAAATCATTAGCCCTGAGTTAGGGTATTGGATTAAAGTAGATTTTAGATTTTAGTGGTTCTTATAGTAAAATTGCTCAAAGAAAAACTTTTTAATTAAATTGTAAAATGTGGTTTCTTAAGCAAATTTTTTGTAAAACTGAAGTTTTTATGATGGTAGGTTTAAATACACTTTGTAAATCATTATGTGAAGATTTTCGTGTAACTCATCGTGATAATAAATTACATAGTGATAGTATTATAATTTACAAGTAGTAATAGTAATCCTAAAGGAAACCGTCTGAGCTTGACTTTTCTGTTCTATTTTTTTTTTTAAAACTGGCCATCAATTTATAGTATAAAATAATAAACTAATCATGTGCTATATATAAAGTCACTCTACATAAAAAATGAATTTACTAATAAACCTCTCGTCATAGCGAATTTCGATTTTTTATACAGTGAATTAATGACAGTTAGGGATAAAAACTCTGATAGTAGATTAGTCGAGTCGCAGAATCATTTGAATTTAGCATATATTGGTATTCACCATACCTATAATGATGAAAAGGATTATTTAGTCTGTAACGAAGTTTTAATAAATATTCATTTTCTGCATAAAGAATAAAGAAAAGGACCGAAATTTATTAATTAAAATTGTAAATGAAATCATTAAAATTATAAATTAATATTTCTACTTTCTTAAGTCCTCTTTGCCCACTAAGAGTTTGTCTATATTTTTAACATTGCTGATATTCAACTTAAAAATTCAGCAGAAACGTGTTATTGACCAATTAGGATACAATATTAGGTGTAATGTAAAATCAATTCTGTGCAAATACTTGCTAATCCAAGCTCTAACCCTAACCTTAAGGTTTTTACATTTTGATTGTTTTATTATCACGTTATACGTGATTTTTGCCGAATTTTTGTTTAACGACTAGTTTACTCGTAAGATCTTCTCTGATGCGATTTCATAGATTTCATAATTCAGTGCACAAAAGAATATTTATAAATTTATAACTTATAGTAAATGTTAATTTTTATCAATGCTGCAATATAAAACAACAATTACGAAAAAACGCTGTTAGGCTCTGAACACTTAGACTACGTTAAAGCGATTGTTTAAGTTTATCAAGCAAAACAGCAAATTCCCACTACGCCTTTTTTCAAATAAGTTTCTTTTGATGTTACTAAAAGGAACTTCACTTAGCAGTGAGATATAAATAGTCATCTTTTTTCTTTTGACACCCTAAAAGAAATATCGTTTAATAACGAGGAATAAATAGTTGTATTTTTTTAAAAAAAATTTTAAAAGAAATGCGTCTTTTTTTTGATTTATTTTCTTTTTGATGTTACTAAAAAAAACACATCCTCGCTTAAATAGCGAGTAATAAATAGTAGTCTTTTTTTTTAAATTTTCTTTTAACATTACTAAAAGAAAATAATTAATACCTTGTGATCTTGGTATACTGTAGTATTAATCAATAATATCCTGATCCTTATGTATATAAGCAAAAACTTCGTTTTCACTAATACCAACGGTTTAGGATATTACTAATAGCAGGTAATAATACTTTGTTGCTAACTTATTGTTCTAAGAACAATATAAGTTATCAGTTCAGTATTTAGCTGGTTAAGGTAAAACCAGAGTTTTCAGTAAGAATCTCACATTTCCTAAATTAACTTGTTTAATTAGGAGCCTATAAAGATTTTCTTAATAAGTTATACAATATATACCAAGCTCCTAATTAATGTAGCAAATAGGAAGAAGACTTTACAATGATTTTTACAAAAGAAATCCGTAGATTTTGCGTGTTTATGTTCACCTTTTGTTTATCAAATTTACTTATTACAAAAGTTCCAAAGTTTTTTTTTTAATAGGTACTGTACATTATTTAATAAATAAGCGATTATTTATATTAATTTAGTTAAGTAAAAAAATTCAGCTCGTAAATTGACACGTGAATAAATTATATACTATCATAGTAAAAATATGGTCCAACACTTTTTGATTCATTTTGAAATAAGAATTTTGAGACTATTCGGATCGTATAATATCGGAATAATATCGGAATATAACGGTTTGAATAATAATAATAATAATAATAAATAAGAACGATCCTGAAAATTAAAGTATATTCAGTGTATGAGCCAACCAATAAATTTTAAGATACTCTGATTAGGTTATACGGGGTCACTCAACTCTTATACAAGTTCAATATTTTGTATTTTACCAATTCATTTTGAGCCATATCGATATTTTTTTTCACACATATCGAGTTAGTATTTATTTTATTTTTTTATATTTACAAACAATCAAGTTGTATTGGTATCAATATTTCTCATAAACACGCGACTCAAAAACATATCTTGAATATGTATACTTTACTTTCACATGAACAGGACACTAGCGACAGATGATATGAGGAAATATTTATTAGTTAATTAAAAAAAAATTTTTTATATCATTAAGCGATATTTCATAAATAGATTAATATGTAAAATTATTAGGATATAATTTAAATTTTAAAAAATTTAAATTGTATCATATATTACAGTATAAATACAGAAATTAAGCATTGACGATTGACTATTCAGGATATTTTTCAAGTAGTGGATAGAAAAAATCATTTCATATAGATTCATCTCTGAACATACATGTTCTCGTGATTGCATTGCTTAAGGTTATATTAATTAATGACAGTGAATGTAGTAAATTTGGGCAAAATTTAAAATCATATATACTTTTTACATGTTAGTCGTTAATCACAGGAGTGTTCTCGAGGACATACTGTAAGTGTAGTAATTCGATTTTGTTAATTACAAATCTATGATTATTCAAACTTTCAAATCATCTGTGCGGAAAATGAGACCCTCTCAGGTTTGAGAGGTTTATCAGTTTTATATACTTAAAAAACTATATAAATTGTTTAATAAAAAAAAAACAATTATCTTTTATTGTTAAATAAAAAAAAAACAAACCTAATTCAAAATTAAATTAATTTTAAATATTTAGTTTAGTCTGAGTTTCAATTTTTGCATGTAATTTATAAACTAGTAGTTCTTGTAAACTTTTAAATATAAATTACAAATTATACTATTATATTACTTAGATTTTGATTTTAATTGTAAATTTATAATTTTGCAACTTAGTTTTAAATTAAACCAATTTTAATTTGAAATATAATATACTGTAAATGTATTGATTTTATTTTATATAAAAACATATAATAATAATAATAATAATAATAATAATAATAATAATAATAATAATAATAATAATAATAGTATTAATAAACAAAATAAATACAGTATTATAAAACATTAATAAAATTTTTTTTAATTCCTCTTTTTATACTACAAATAATGGTATAGTACAAATAGTAAAAAAAAAAATAAGATGATTTAATATAAAAAACTATTTACAATAAAAATTTTTTTTAAATATGCTAAAATTTATCATGTATAAAAAAAAAATAAATAAAAAATGAAGTTATGTTATGTTACCTATATATAATATTCATATTCATATTGTTGTTATTACACACACTCACTCACTATAACTTATATTTAACGAAATTTTTTGGTTTGTAAAAATATATATTATAAGTATGTTATTCATCATATTTTTTCTTATATATCCATGAATTTCCTAATATTCCAGCACCTTGTGCAGCAGCCATTCGATAATATTTAGCAGCTTTTTTAATATCCTATAAATAAAATAAAAAATAACGAAAGAATTATTATTATTATTTTTTTAAAAAATTAAAACTAATAATTAATAAAGAAAGAAAGAAAGAAAAATAACCTTTTTTGTTCCTTCACCATGTTCAAGACAAGACCCTAGTTCATTTTGAGCATCGGGATCCCCAAGATTTGCAGCAATTTCGAAATAATATACAGCTGTATGTTTATTTTTTGGTACACCCCAACCATGCCGGAAACATACACCTAAACAATAAAAAAGAATAATTTTGTTAATTAATATTTTTTATGAAAATTGTACGATAAAAGTATTAAAAAAATATTATAATAGAATTTTATTTACCAAGCTCATAAATTGCCAACACTAACTCGTGGCGAGCTATACTTGGATTTGCAGCTACTGAAGTATGAAGATCGGTAACAGCAGATTCAGCGGCTTTTTGTAAATACCGTACAGCAAGTTTTGGATTTGGATTACAACCCTATTTTGTAAATAAAAAAAAAAAAAAAAAAAAATTATTATAAAATTATTATTAATAATTTATTTTAATAAAATAAAATAATAATAATAATAATAATATTATTATTATTAATAATATTATTATTATAATTATTATTATTATTTTTTTTAAAAAAAAAAAAAAAAAAAAAAAAAAAAAAAAAAAAAAAAAAAACATACCCAACCATGTCTTAGAGCAATACCATATAAAAATAAACCCAAAGGACTATCTTTTTCAGCAGCCAATTTAAAATAATAAGTAGCTTTTTCTAATTCATTAGCTTCATGATATTGTATAGCTTGTTGAATAAAATCATCAGCTTCATTTTGACGAGTAGTTGGGGATTGAGGAGGAGGAGGATTATTTAAATTAATTTCATAAGGTAAAGATATAGAATTATCTAAACCAGGAACTTTTAAAAAATCCTCAACCGGAGATTGAGTAAATTGTTGTTGTTGTTGTAGATCATTATTATCATTAGAAATATCGGTATCCAAGTATAAAGCGCCAGCGCCTATTGAATCATTTTTTTTTGAAGGAGGATTTAAAGAACGATGAGATCTCCAAGATTTTTTCTTTTTTGAATCATCTTTTATAACTGAACCAGAATTTGCACGACGAAAGAAACCATGTTTTTGATTTTTATTATCCGTATTAGTAGTCGGAGAAGTAGAATTAGGTGAAAATAAATGCTTAAGTTTGTTCATGAATAAAAATTAATAAGAAAGCAAAGAAAAAAAAATGGATGAGTTCAATATATATATATATATAATTAATATAGTCTTTATTTTAAGAAGATAGAATTAAGCCACTTTTTTTGTTATGAATTTAAATTTAATAATAAAAAGGGAGCCAACATCTATTTATACGTACGAAACAAAAAGTGATAGGCCAATACAGTATAAATAAATAGAATAAAATATATAGTTATATTTTAGTGATACAGTATATATATATATATATATATATGTAGATACCGGTATATAATATACACATGGTACAATCTAAGAAGCACAAGTAACCAAAATTAAAAGTAAAAAACTCAAAATAATTAAGTCATTATATCATCTTAACCAGAAATCGAGTATATACTCGAATGATTATGTGGAGATTATGAACATTTAATTAAGGTGCGTCGAGATGTGACAAATGTGATTTATTATTAATTTAAAGAATTATTAATAATTTAAAAGAATTTATCTGTTATGCATACCTGATACGACGTACACGCGTGTGAATAAACAAGCCTCAAAACCGAGCCACACTATTGCGGCCAAGTAAATTTACAATCGTGTTGGTTTGAAATACGTAATGATTTAAAAAAACACGCAAGGTAAATAACCTTTGCAATTATTATTATTATAAATATAACAGATAACTTAAAATTCTAATTACTCCTAAACTAAGCACTTATATAAATAAATATAAAATTTTTTTAGAATCTTCTTGACATGTTCTATAACGCTATAGATCTTTCTTTTTTGTATATAGTATACAAAGAAGTTATATTTGTTGATCATACCCCTCAATGTATTGAAAAGAACAATGAAGATAGGCCACCTATGGCAAATCAAGGTTAATATTATGCTGTCATAGAGATTACCCGTTAAGAAAATCTTTACTCGGGTATTATTATCTCGAGTAATCATATACTGTAGCAGTAATTTTTACCTGGTCCACTGTCATAACTTATCGTTATGACAATATAAAAAGCTCAATGTTAATCTAGTGACGTAAATATTTTTACAATAACTTGTCGCTCAGATTGGTGCGAAATTGAGTTTTTTACTTAACCTTGAAAATTTAAAGTTACGTACTTTTTCAAGTTAACCTTATTCTCAAAGATCCTTAGCGATCTTTAAAGATGTTCAACATCATATTTTTCCAAAAGTCTATTAATAAATTTATTACTATAAAAAGGTTAGTACGATCTAAATTGATTCTGCTGATTTTTATCGTTATTCTTTTGTGCATAAAAGTTGATGAGATTGTCAACGTTTGCGCAAAAAAATTTAAGCAGATAACTTTTTTTCTTAATATGGTTAATGTAATCGATCGTCAAAAAATTGAGGTGGCGTATAAAAATTATTTCCATTTTACCTCATACGCCATACGTATACATCAATAAATAACATCTCGTGACATAAAATTCCCTTGCTTACGTATCAAAAGATAAACAAATTAATTCTTACTAAATTTGTCTAATTTCATCCCGTACGTATGCTCTGTGATTCGTAGTTGTGATAAATAAAAGAATTATTATTATTATTGTTGAAACTGTGGAACTTGTATGCAAGTTTATGTTGGTCACTCCTGTAACAGATTTGTCCACGTTAGTATAATCCTTTAAGGTCTTTTTTTGCTCGTATGATCAAAACATCGTGTGACAATTTGCCCTTTACCTGGTAACTCATAATTTGGCGCTGACGAATTAGAAATTATCCGGTTTCTACGGAATACGTATAGTAACAAACTACAATAATGGTAATATTTAATATTTTTGATACACCATTAAAAGGTACGTAGTACGTACGTCTTATCTTTTAAAAAATTTATCGTTGTCTTCAAAATATTTATAATTGAACTCATTGTAAGTTGTTGTTCTAATATATGACTTTCTCAATATATAAATTTATCCAACTCTCCTTTCATTTTTCCTTATAGAATTTTTAAACATATTTAACGTTAATAAAAAGTTTCTGGATTACGTATACAGAATAATAATTATTATCTAATATAGCATTTTTTTATCCTATCATACTGCTTGAAAATTTCAGATCGTAATTAAAATATTTTCCGATTGTTTGTATGTACTGTACGTACATGGGGGTGAGTCAATAGAAATCAAGCAAATTGTTTTTATTGAAATTTTTTTGAAACTTTAAACAACAATAACTCAA